CTACTAATTGATCATCGTCGTTGCTACGTGTATCTGAGTGATAAGCCATTGTACTTTCCTTTCCGACCGTGTTTGTAGTGCGCTCATTAACTCGCGCTCAGACGTCTTAATTAATGACTCAATGACTATTGCGATTTCCGTGAAATGGTGGCTTTTTTTTCTTTATTTTGATCCCCGCTGTCAGTTCTTTTATTACTCGTTCTTTTTACGTCCGTTACTTCTGAAACATCCTGTATAATACCATCCAAAAATAAACTGCCCGGAAAAAAAAGTTTATATATGAATTTTGTTATATGGTTATATATAATCATATATAATTATATATATCGATATTGAAAAGAATACTATTGTGAAGTAATAATTGAAGTAAATGCTTATGTTTATGGTAGCCTATGATGTCGACGTTTAATCGAATCAAATTATGTTTTCCTTTTTTTCATTTGACAATTTTCGTTTTATATATGGACATGTATAATTAGATATAATCATATATAAGACCACATATATAGGCAAAATTCATATATAATCGTATATAATTATATATATTTATATATAATTATATATCATCTTTTTTCCCGGGGAAAGTCGTGAAACGACATTTCAAAAATTATTTTCACTATTACAGTAATTAAATCTTATGTGCAATATCTGCACATAAGATATTTTTTATCAAAAATTAGATTTAGAATTTAAGTTTTCTAATAGAGGTTTCTATTTTATATATGTATTATATTTTTCACAAATAATACGTATTAAATATCTTATATTAAAATAAGTATGTCAAATTATCTTTTTTTTATTATTTTATAAAATAATAGGTACAGAATCTTAAACATGTATAGGTACAGAATCTTAAACATGTATCTTAAATACGTATATCTTAAATATGTATGGGTCATTTATTCCTTATGGCCATTTTGTATTAGAAATTTAGGTAAGATGGCCAATGCTTATGTTTTGTTATTTTTTTAATAGATAATTTCACTGAAATATTTTCCTTTTAACTCTGATGGTATTATGTATGTACTATACACTTCAGTGAAGTAATGTGCCAAACGCTATTAAGAAATAACAATAAGAAATATATTTTTTTTGCATTTAAAAAAAGAATGGCCATCTTATCCGAGTTTACCCTAATATATTGTTAATAATTTTTTCGTACCTTGCCAAGTATTTCTTCAGATCGACCTTGGCCATACCATGGTGCGGTGTCAATATAGTTGATACCTTGCTTTATCGCTCGACGCATTGCCTCGATAGCGTCTGCTTCATCGTACGTGCTAACAATAATTGAATTATATAAGTACTCACTAATTGTAAAGTCTGCACTGAAAAAAAAGATCAAGTGAGACGAACGATTTTAGGTTGAGTAAATTTAGTTATATCAACTTCGATCAAGTTAAATTGAATAAAAATTAAATCTGTTTAACAATTTGATATAGAAATTTCAGTTAAAAAGTTGAACCAAACGTATAGGTTAATAAAAAACTGAAATATAGTTATACAAAGACTATAAATGTTTTTTCAACTAACAAAAAAGTTGATCTAATATAATAATTCTATCTTCTGAATAGAAAGTTAAATAACCCACATAGAACAAAAACCTCCAATAGATGTTCATTAGACGTCTATGATGGAGTTTCGAAAGTTCCAGTGGACATCTATTAGACCTCCAATGGACGGTCACTAGAAATCTATAGTTCCGTTTTGTGCATGTCCACTGAACCTCCATTGGACATCTTTATAGATGTTCACTAGACGTTACGTGGATTATTGATGGAGGTTCGATGGACGACAAACGGACGTTAGATGGATCATTAATAGAAGATTCATTACCCAGACACCACAAAATATTTATAAAACATTTACAAAATATTTATAAGATTTATATGATTATTTTAATGCTCTCACAGAGTCTTCGTCTGATTGAGACGGATTATAAGATAGGAACTCGCTTTTATCCAAGTGAATTTATTTATACAGATAATCTTAGTATAACTGTGGAAGAACTGAACAATGAATAGAATGCAATAATTAACGCTAAGAATAAAATAAAACGTGAGCATAGCTCAGCTCGTAGTCGTCTACAGAATACACCAATGCACGGCAGCGCTGCTCGCATGTGATCCCGCTTAGAGATCCTATAATAAGAGATTGTCAACATATGTCAACGTTTTGATTGGCTACGCCATTTGGGTCTCCGCTTCCGGTTAGGATCATCAGCTGAATGACAACATAAGCAGTAGTCTGTTCTTTTCAGCTGCACTGGCTGCACTGCTGAACTAGTGCAATAAGTTAAGGCAAGATAAGTATATCGGTTTGGATTCAAACATAGCGAATTTAGTATCTATAGGCGACGGTGTCCAGTCTTTTATTATACGGTCTCTAATTCCGCTTGAACATAAACGCCATCACTCAGCGCGCGGGATGAACAAGTACGAACGCTCCGACGCACTCATAAAAGCTCGAAAAACCTTTCGATTAATCCTTAAACCTTTCGTTTTTTAACAGATAACTTTATAATATATTTATCAAAATATTTCATAAATATTTTTGTGACCTTAGATTCAATAAATCAGAGCTCAGAATTAGTTGCCCATTTCGGCCGATTCTCGGGATCTACCCCTTCTATCTTCCCCTTGCAACGAGCGGGCTACGCAAATGACGGTCGCGGCTCCAAGCTTGAAGCCGCAACTGACCGCGAACGTCACTTGCAAGGCAAGGGAAAGATAGAAGACGTAGCTCCCGAAAATCGGTCGAAATGGGCAACTTCCAAGCTCTGAAATAGATCATAAATATTTATCATAAACATAAAAATTTTATTAAAATATATACATTTATATACATTTTTCTCTTTTCCTGAATTTTTCTTAAATTTTCCACTTTATTATTTCACACGCTACTTAATTTAAATTGTACTTCGAAAATTTGCTTATTGTTGCTGAGATTCGAACCTAAAACCTCTGATTCTTGAGTCGTTCACTTTATCTACTGCACCACTGTCACTTTGACTGAGAGGCTCTTCGTATACATATGTATATCCATGTACGAAAACAAATGATTTATTTAAAAGAAGAGAATAGATCCTTTTAAATGTAAAAAAATGTTTAAAAAGTATGTAAAAGGTATATTTAAAAAATATTTACTTGTGCGTGTCTTAAAAGTAAGTAAAATACAAATAAATCATTTTGTAAATTTAAATAAATTATTTTCTAATATATAATAAAAAACATTAACTTGTGTTCCGTACAGGCAGAGTACGGCGGGCGGCCGTGCCTCGGGCGCCGCGATACTCGCAGACGGCTTCGCGCCGACGGCTTCGGGCCATCGCTCGCAGTTAAATTTTAGCTAAGCGGCTATAAGGTAAAGTGATCAAACATACATGTTTCAATGATTGACATATTGGTTTTGTATTTTTCTTTGTTGAAATGCTTTTCAATATACAAAACAATATAATAAATAAAAAAAAATATTTAGTTACTTTGTGATTTTGTTTCATTTATTGATAAGCATCTTAACAAACACAAGTATATTATTAGTAATTCAATTATACACGTTCAATCACTAGGACTTTTACCTTATAAGCCGGCGCGAGTGACGGCTCGAGACTTTTTGAGTACGCGTTGCACGTTGGGTCCTGCCTTTAAGATGCTTTTACATAGGAACGTCGAGCGTCAAGTGTTGAGCACATACATAGTAATATATAGTGAGTTGTTGCTGAAACGCAAGATTAATTTGATTACATACTGAACTGTCAGTTGAATTTCGGGATATTTATTAGCAATTCAGAAAAAACTGTAAAATATTACAAAATATCTATTAATTATCGGCATCATTTGTGGTTCCCAGATAGCACGATGAATTCTTTAACTGTTCTTAAAGCTTTCTCCTTCCCTGAATTGTACTTCCTTAGGAATTCGTGGAAGAATACCATAAGAATGATTTAGGAAGTTATATGCACCATGATTGGAGTTCCTCAGAATTTCTTAGAGTATTCATACAGAAGTTATTCATACAGAGTTATTCATACAGAATTACTTCAACTCAAAAAGATTTCTTCGGATTTAATAAATTTTATCACATGAAAGAAAAATCAGAAACTTTGGCCGGGGGTGCTTGTGTGTATCTATAGATGTCCACTTTTAATGCCATATGAGATAAAAAACATCAGACTCGGGGATCGAACTTGGGTCTTCCGTTTGCCAGACAACCGCTTTTTCCACTGAGCTATTTAAGACTTCATGTTTGTGACATTTATATACTTAGTGAAACATGATTCGTTGATTGATGTCAAAATGATATCAAATTGACATCGGTTTAACGATTTCAACGTCTATGATGTCATTTTGACGTCAATCAACGAATCATTTTTCGCTGGGTATATACTATTCTGAATTTTAAATATAAGTAAAGCGCACTTTTTTCAAATATATAATTCAAAATCCAAGAATAAATGGCTTTCAAATAATGCGATTGAGTTTATTAGAACTGTATATGGATTTTAGAAACATAAATATAAACTTAAAAATAAAATATACTTCGTATAAATCTATTTATTATTGATACAAGTCAACATTTTATATATGAAAAGCTATTTTAACACCAATTCCCTTTCTTTTCCTATTATATAAAACTATATAATTAATTCCACAAAACATAAATAACTATGAATAACAATAAATTAAACAATTTATATGTAAATATGTAAATCAATTATTATACACTCACTGGCATGTACTGAATATAGGCGCAAAAAGTAGTTGCTATAAACAAAACATTTGTAAAGACTAAGGCAGATGAATGAGACGTAAAGCATCGTAGTCATAGACGTAATAAGGCAGAGAAAAACGTAAACGTAAGTTATAAAAGGCTATTAGCTTTATGTTTACGTTTTTCTCTGTCTTACTTTACGTCTACAATTACGACGCTTACGTCTCATTCTCTGCCTTAGCCCTAATTCCTTACGAATTCTCAAAATGTTCTAGAAATTAAATCGCGAAGTATTCGCTATAATGAAGTTCTAAGGAATATTTCAAGACGAACTTATTGTGGTTAATTCTTCAAGAATTCTTCGGGTATTAATTTTTCTAGTTCTATATCTATTTTTTAAAATGAATTCTCTAGGAACTTCTGTTCATCTCTGTGTTATCTGGGTTATTAAAATGCAATAGCATTATCAGTAACGAATATTACAAAACATGGAATTAATTGGATTAATATCACTAATTGCAAATGCAATATGAGCAAAACAAAAAAAGGGTTTTGAAAGGGTTACAAATATTCGTAGAAAGAAAGAGACACGGCAAAAGCTTTCTCATACAGCACAGAAGCTTGCAGTTACGTTGCAGAAACGTTACATCACTTTAAATTTCAACGTAACACATTGCAGAAACATAGCATAGACATGGAATTGTAACATTTCATCGGAAATGTTAAAACAACATTGCAGAAATATTATAAATAATTAAAAACTATAATGCTATAATTTATGCATAATACATGTATGATATATACGTTTTGTAAAGATACAATTAATGTAATTCGATTGATATATGAAAGTATATATTATATTTTAGAACAAAAGAACGATGCTTTGCAAGAAGCCTTAATAGAAGCCTTAATAGAAGCCATAATTGAAAAAACCAACAGCACAGGTTACTGATCCGCTAGATGGATTTTTAGCACGGTTGGGAAAAGGCATGCGAAGGCTGCCATACCGCGACAGAGCTCGTCTGGAAATACAATTTTTGATGTTGGTTGCCGAAAAGGAAGATCTTTGTGTTTACAATTATTCAAATACTGAACAATCAACACGATATTAGCTGGAAACGTTTTTATTTTTATTTTACGAAAATATTTAATAATTTTTTATTTTTATTTATTACGAAAAGTTAATGTATGATAGTTAATATATACCAGGTATGTAAATATAAAACCGGAATTTTTGTATAGAAAATACACGTTTATTGTATGAAAATGATAAAAAATATTTTATTCGAAGTATTGCCCATCGCTAGCTATACATTTTTCCCACCTGTCTGACAATTTGTGGATGCCACGCCAAAAAAACTGTTGCTCTTTTGAGGCAAACCAGTCATCGAGCCATTTTCGTACATTTTCGTAAGAAGTGAAGCGCTGCTTAGCAAGTGCGTGTCCCATCGATGCAAATAAATAATAATCGGAGCCAAGTCTGGTGAGTAAGCTGCATGCGAAAGTATTTCCCAACTAAACGCCTCAATCGTTTCCTTGACCAGTTTTGCTGTGTGTGATGGTGCATTATCATGAAG